GTAAATAGAGAACCTTTCAAGGGAGCAAGTCCCCTCTCTGACTCTGTTCAGAGTAATTTCTCTTACTGCATAGGGAATCAATTATTGTTTGTCAAGGCCCAGACTCCAGAAACAATAATACAAAAATAACAAGTGATAAGTAAATAAAGATTTCAAAGTCTGTTCAAAAGCGTCTGACTGTCTGGATTTGACCAGCTGCCCACCTACTGTCCACTTCTGCTTTATGGCATCCTTAGGTTTCTCATACCCCCAGATCTAGAGTCTAAAGTACAGCTCTTCTGTTTTCCACAGCATAAGCTGATTTAATAGAAGCTTTTGACTCTTTGGGTATGTTCCTGTTTTCCAGGAGATTGTACCCTGTCATCTCTCTCAGCAATGATTAACACCAGTCTTTCAAACGCTTAACTCTGTGGCTCAAATATTGTATTGTACAGAGCATCCTCACTGGCTGTATCCCACGGATTCATTGTTATTTAACCCTGTTATTGTAGTAGTGCTTAAGGGCCTCAGCTAGGGTGGTCTCCACAGTGCTACCTGCTGTGCAAATATAAAATACACCTCTGCCCTGATATAACGCTGTCCTCAGGAGCCAAAAAATCTTACCACGTTATAGGTGAAACAGCGTTATATCAAACGTGCTTTGATCCACTGGAGTGCGCAGCCCCCCCACCACGTTATATTCAAATTCGTGGTATATTGGGGTAGAGGTGTAAGTGACAGTAAGAGACTAGTTTCTGAGATTCAAGGGCCAGAAGAGACCGTTGTGGTCTGAATTCTAGCCTAACAGAAGCATAGGCCTTTCCCAAAATCCTGTTTGAACTAGAGCACAGCATTTAGTAGAAAATCATCCCATCTTGATTTTATAATTGCCAGTGCTAGAGACTTCACTATAACCCTTGGTAAATTGCCCCAATGATTAACTACCTTCACTGTTATAAATATACACCTTATTTCCAGTCTCAATTCGTCTAGCCCAAGTACAGTAAAAGCCCATTATTAAATATTGGATCTCCATGTAGGTACAGACACTCCCCAGGTTACGCAAGATCTGATTTATGTAAATTCACACTTACAGAAAAAGTTCCATAAGCCAGAAATAGGATTTTTGAGTTGCGGAAATTTTTGCGTAATGTACAGGTATATGTTTCTGGTTTATGCAAAATTTGAGTTACACAAGGCTTTCCTGAAAGGAACGATTCCATAAGTCGGGCGGCATCTCTACTTATAGCGCATAGGG